TGGAGGAGGATGAAGAAAGATATAGTTGGGCATGTGTCTAGATGCCTCAAATGCCAGCAGGTGAAGTATGAGCACCAGCGACCGGGTGGGTTGCTTCAGCAGATAGAGATTCCGGAGTGGAAATGGGAGCGCATCACCATGGACTTTGTATCGGGACTCCCACGGACCTTGAAGAAGTTTGATTCCATTTGGGTTATTGTGGATCGGCTGACCAAGTCCGTTCATTTCATTCCTGTGTGTACCACTTATTCATCGGAGCGGTTGGCGGAGATTTATATCCGGGAGATCGTCTGTCTGCATGGTATTCCAGTTTCTATTATTTCAGATAGAGGTACTCAGTTTACATCGCGGTTCTGGAGAGCCGTGCAGCAGGAGCTAGGTACTCGGGTGGAGTTGAGCACAACATTTCACCCCCAGATGGACGGACAGTCAAAGCGCACTATTCAGATTCTTGAGGATATGCTCTGTGCGTGTGTGATTGAGTTTGGAGGGTCTTGGTATCAGTTCTTGCCATTGGCGGAGTTTTCTTACAACAACGGTTATCAGTCCAGCATTCAGATGGCGCCGTATGAGGCTTTATATGGTAGGAGGTGTAGATCTCCGGTGGGTTGGTTTGAGCCGGGTGAGGCCAGGCTATTGGGCACAGAGTTGGTTCAGGACGCATTGGAGAAGGTTAAGATGATTCAGGATAGACTCCGTACAGCCCAGTCCAGACAGAAGAGCTCCACGGACAGGAAGGTTCGTGATGTTTCATATATGGTTGGTGAGCGGGTTCTGCTTCGGGTTTCGCCTATGAAAGGCGTCATGAGGTTTGGGAAGAAAGGGAAGTTGAGTCCGAGGTTTATTGGCCCTTTTGAGATTTTGAGGCGGGTTGGGGAGGTTGCTTATGAGCTTGCCTTACCTCCCAGTTTGGCCGGGGTTCATCCGGTATTTCATGTTTCGATGCTCCGGAGATATCACGGTGACCCGTCGCACGTGTTGGATTTCAGTTCAGTCCAATTGGACAAGGATCTATCCTATGTTGAGGAGCCAGTGGCTATATTGGGCAGGCAGATCAGAAAGTTGAGCTCAAAGGACATTGCTTCAGTAAAGGTTCAGTGGCGGGGTCAGCTGGCCGAGGAGGCAACCTGGGAGACCGAGCAGGATATGCGCAGCAGTTACCCTCATCTTTTCACTACTTCAGGTATGTCTTTATGCTCGTTCGAGGACGAACGAATGTTTAAGTGTAGGAGGATGTGACGACCCGGCCGGTCGTCTTAAGAATTAATGCCCCGATCCCCTATTAACTGCTTTCCCCAAGTCTATTTATGCTAATTTGAATTGCCGGGATGTTCGGTTTTGAGTTTCGGAGAGTTTTGGGACACTTAGTCCCTAAATGAGAGCTTAAGTGTTGGAAAGTTGCCCGTAGTCGGAACAGTGTGAAGAAGGCCTCGGAATGGAAATTCGATGGTCCCGTTAGGTGATTTCGGGGTTGGGAGCGTGTTCGGAATGTGTTTTGGAGGTCCGTAGCTGATTTAGGCTTGAAATGCCGAAGTTCGAATTTTTGAACTTTCCAGTCCGATAGTGAGATTTTGATCCGAGGGTTGGAATGGAATTCCGGAAGTTGCAGTAGCTCCCTCATGTCATTTGGGATGTGTGTGTAAAATTTCAGGTCATTCGGACGAGGTTTGGTTAGGTTTTTGATCGAAAGCGTGTTTTGATAGAATTTGAAGTTTTTAGGCTTAAATCATTGGTTAATTCGAGTTTCCGACGTTGTTTTAGGTGGTTTAATGGTTGGTACAAGTTTGAATGATGTTATGGGATATATCCGTAGGTTTGGTTGAGGTCCCGGGGGCCTCGAGTGTGTTTCGGGTGCTCAACGGAGCATTTTGGAGTTGTGCAAAGTTGCAGAAAATCCTTCAGCAGTTGCAGGTCCAATTCCTTCTTCACGTTCGCGATGCTCCTATCGCGTTCGCATAGCTCTGACCTTCTTCTTCTTCGCGTTCGCGTCCTCGTCCACGCGTTTGCGTAGTGTAATCTGGGAGGAGGACAAATTTCTTCATCGCATTCGCGTTCAGTGACCCGTGTTCGCGAAGCCCTGTAGTTTCCTCCTTCGCGTTCGCAGCCTATCCATCGCGTTCGCATAGTCCAATTTGGCCCTGGGGGGAGGGGGGGGCTGAGCCCATTTTATTCATCACGTTCGCGTAGCACTGCCAGTCCAGGCCTTCGCGTTCGCGTACCATTCCACGCGTTCGCGAAGGGCAATTTTACAGCCTTCACTTTTTCTTCTTCGCGAACGTGAGCCTACTTCCGCGTTCGCGATGCATTAAATGACTGGACAGTTATAAACAATTCAAAATCGAGGGTTAGCCATTTTTTATCAAAACACAAGCTTGGGAGCTCGGATTTTGGAGAAATTTCGAGGGAATTTCGAGGGCAACGACTGGGTAGCGATATTCTACTCTCTTATGCTGAAAACCCACTAATCTAATCACGAATTTCTCCTTAATTTCGGATTATTGAATGAAAGATGGGTAAAACTTCATAGACCAAATTATTGAGTTTTGAGTGGGTGTTTGACCTCCGATTTGAGAGATTTTTATGTGGTTAGACTCGTGAGAGTACGAGGGTTCTGAAAATGTAAAATTTATCCGGTTCCGAGACGTTGGCCTGAGGAGCATTTTCGTCATTTTACCTAATTTCGCGTCTTAGCTTTAAATTAAATAGTAGAATCAGTTGCTTGAGATGTTATTTACGATATGTAATTGAATCGAATAGATTTGGGCCATTTGGAGTCGGATACTCGTGGCAAACGTGTGGTTTCGAGTTGATTTTGGAGCCGGTTTGAGGTAAGTGGCTTGTCTAACTTTGTGTGGGGGACCTTTCCCCTTAGGATATGATATTTGGTAATTGAATGCCTTGTACGTGAGGTGACGAGCGCGTACTTGAGCTAATTGTTGAAAATCCGATTTTACTTTAAATATTTAGACTGAGTTTCTTTCTTATCTGCTTATTCCATTTGCAACTATAGCCTGTGTTAGTTAGAAAAGCATGCTTAGTTGGTCTAAATTGCCTATTTGCTCAAGTTGCTTTGTTTGTACTACGTGAAGCATGTTAGGCTAGAACTACCTGTTGCCTTGTATCGTAGAACTTCATTTCTGGATATCTTCTTGCTGTGACTGCGTATTTACATTGGGACTACGGATGTGGGATTCCGGTAGCTCCCCCCCTTTGTTTGTTTACTTTGGGACTACGGGTTAGATTCCCGGTAGATCCCCCTGCACCTTTACTTTGGGACTACGCGTTAGATTCCCGGTAGATCCCCCCTGCTGCACTTTGACAGCCGGACTACGGGACTGTATCCCGGGAGCTCCTTGGACAGTTGATGAAAGGGACTACAGGACGGTATCCTGGGAGATCCTCGTTGTTGGTATTGATATTGAGCTGTTTTACTCTATCTTATCTTATTCTCTGAGTGTTAATTGTTGCCTTGGATAACTTGTCTTACTTCATTGCTGTACTCATTATTTCTGTTTATTTCATGCTGTTGCAAGACTTATTATTATGTTTATTCTCAGTAGGGCCCTGACCTTCCTCGTCACTACCCAACCGAGGTTAGGCTTGGCACTTACTGAGTACCGCTGTGGTGTACTCATGCCCCTTCTGCGCATGTTTTTCATGTGCAGATCCAGGTAGCTCTACCCAGGCGTATCATCCTCGGGCGGAGAGACCTAGCAGAGACTTCAAGGTACATCTGCCGCGTCCGCAGACCAGGAGTCTCTATCTTATTCTAGCTTTAGCAGTTAGCTTTTCCTTTCGTACTGTTATTTTAGATACTCTGGAGTTAGAGCAGTGTATTACTTTCCATTAGCTTGTGTTCCCATGAGTTTCCGGGTTTTGGGATGATATTGTAGACTTCCGCGTTATTGAGTTGTATGTACCGAGCGGCATTTATATACAGTTTTCTTTCTAGTTTGTTTACTTTTAATTATTGGTTTCCGCAAGTTATGTTATTTCCGCATTGTTAGGCTTACCTAGTCGTAGGGACTAGGTGCCATCACGACATGTTCACGGAGGGCGAACTGGGGTCGTGATAGGGATGGCCCAACCGGTCATGCGAAATGATAAAATCATTAGAAGTAGTAAACCTTTTATTTACTATGGCATGTGATTCAACCACACCAATGTTTGTGTGGTACAACCCAGAAGAAATTGCGCGTAATTTTTCGTGCACATATTTTTCAATATAAAGGTATTCAACATTTCCTTCGTTTGATGTCTCAACATGGTAGCCATTTTGGCGAATAGCTTTGAAACTCAACAAGTTTCTTTGGGGCTTACTACAATTCAATGCATTATCAATAGTTAATATCGTTCCTCCAGGTAGTAATAAGGCCGCTCCTCCAGAGCCCTCAATTAACTTTGTACTACCAGATATTGTATTAACATAGGCCTGTTTCATAACCAAATAAGAGAAAAATTTCTTTCTCTTAATATCGTGTGAGTTGTAGCACTATCCAAATGGCATAAATCTTCATTACTCATCTTGGATCCAATTGAAGACTGGGAAATTTTATTTTCTTCATAAAAAATAAAAGTACACCATGAGAAATACGGAAAAAGTAACAACACCAACAACAACATAAGACAATTTAAGTACTACTTGAAAATAAAAACTTTAGAACGAGACAAAAAAAACTGAAAATAAAATAACAACATAGCTGCATTCCCCAGTAAAATGATAAAACTTTAGTTTTGATCTCCAAAGAAGTCTTCAACTTCCAAATGAGTAAGATCATCGAGGCCTTTAAAATCATCATCATTCAAAGCAAGATTTGCCTCGACACTGTCATCATTTTTGTTTGAATTCCCTGCCTCAAAATCAATTTTAAAGGTCAAGTAAGACTCAACTGGGGCATTAGTAGATGATGCTCCAACATTATTTGTCTTTCTTTTGATGGAGATTTGATAAAGCCTGACAAAATGCTCAGGTGCACGGCATTCAATCTTCCAATGACCGTTCATGCCACAGCGGTGGCAGTACCGCTTTTGCCTCTTGAAGGATTGTTTTGAGAACCCATATTGTTCTCTCGTTTGCCATGACCACCATGATGACGACTATTATATCGTCTCTTACCATTGCCATGCCCACGTACATTCATATGGCCATGATTACTATTCTGTCTTTTTCCAGACTTATCAGGTCTAGCTGCCATATTCGCTTCAGGAAGCAGAGCTGACCCTGTGGGACGGGCTTCATGATTTTTCAGCAAAAAGGTATTATGTTGCTCAGCCACCAGAAGGCATGAGATCAATTCAGAATACTTTTTAAAACCCCTTTCACGGTATTGCTGCTGTAATACCATATTTGAGGCATGAAAAGTCATAAGAGTCTTTTCCAACAAATCCTCATCATTCATAACATCCCCACGTAATTTCATTGGGAAGTTATTCGAAATACAGTAGAGTTATACTTACTTACGGTCTTAAAATCTTTCAACCGTAGGTGCATCCACTCATATCGAGCCCTTGGCAATACCGTAGCCTTAAGGTGATCATACCTTTCCTTCAGGCCTGTGACGACCCGGCCGGTCGTCTCATGAGTTACCGATCCGTTTCACCCATTTCTGCTTCTATTTGCTTTATTATCGGTTTTATATGTGATCAGGTTGGTTGGTTCGGGTTCGGAAAGGTTTTGAGAAGGTTTGAGACACTTATTCTCTTTTAAGAAAGCTTAAGTTGGAAAAGTCAATCGGATGTTGACTTATGTGTTAGGGGGCTTGGATGTGAGTTCCGATGGTTCGGATAGCTTCGGGAGGTGATTTGGGACTTTGGAGTGTGATCGGAATGTGATTTGGAGGTCCGGAGTAGAATTAGGCTTGAATTGGCGAAATTGAGTTTTTGGCATTTTTCGGTTGATAGGCGAGATTTTGATATAGGGGTCGGAATGGAATTTCAGAAGTTGTAGTAGCTTCGCTATGTCATTTGGGATGTGTGTGCAAAATTTCAGACCATTCGGACGTGGGTTGATATACTTTTTGATCAAAAGCGGAATGCGGAAGATTTTAGAACCTTAGGCTTGAATTCGATGTGTTTTGGTGGTTTTGATGTTGTTTGAGGTACTTTGAAGATTGGTATAAGTTTGAATAAGGTTATGGGATATGTTTGTGCTTTTGGTTGAGGTCCTGGGGGCCTCGGGGTAATTTCGGATGGTTGACGGGAAGTTTGGAAGTTGGTTGTGGCAGCTGAAGTTTCCCATTTGCTGTCATAACCGCACCTGCGGCTAGGGGACCGCAGGTGCGGTCTCGCAGGAGCGTAAATGTGGTCACAGATGCGGCCAAGGGCCTGACCAGTTGGAATCGCAGAAGCGGTAGGGGAAGCGCACCTGCGATAGCGCAGGTGCGGGCAGCATATCGCAGATGCGATTTTGGCCCGTTAAGTGGAATCCGCAGGTGCGGCCATTGGGACCGCAGAAGCGGTCTCGCAGGTGCGACTTATGGACTGCAGGTGCGAAAAACCTGGGTCAGAATAGTTATATTTCCTCCTTCGTAATTTTCAGAGGATTTCTTCACTTTTAAACACGAATTTGAGAGCTTTGGGCGATTTTGAAGAGAGAATTCAAGGGGAACTCATTGAGGCAAGAATTTTGGACCTCAACACTCGATTCTATGGTGTTAATGCACGGATTAGAGATGTAATTAAAGGTAAAATTAGAGAAACTAGGGCTTAGAAGCCTAGGCCTTTGATCGAGGTTTTGGAAGACCATTTGTGGTCGGATTTTGGAACTTTTTATATGTATGAACTCGTGGGGAGATAAGGAATCTAATGATGTTAATTTTATCGAATTCCGAGATATGGGCCCGGGGGTCGGGTTTTGCTAATTTCGGGATTTGTGATGTTTTTCGATTATTTTCGAGTGGGCTTCGTCCCTTTAGCATAATTTAATGGTTACGTTCTGCTTTTTGGTAGATTCGGAGCATCTAGAGACCGATTCGAGGGGCAAAGGCATTGCGAGCTAGATTTCGGGCCGGAATGAGGTGAGTAATGATTTTAAATGCTGTCCTGAGGGTATGAAACCCCGGATTTCACAGTGTTCGACTATGTTGAGGTGAGACACACGCTGGATGACGAGCGTGGGGTCGTGCACCGTTGGGGATTGTGACTTAGTCCATCCCGAATGACTATTTTATTGCGTATTTGATAGCTTATTGTTTGATATTGTTATGTTTTGGGCTAAATGCCATATTTGGGCTTCATGCCAACTGTTTGAACCCTTAGGGGATTTTTACTGATATTTTCCTCACTATTTGATTTCATACTTGTGCTCAGTCATGCCATATTTTACTGTTTTCAAAAACTCAGCTAAGTTATTCTGTTTTAAACACCTTAAATGATATTTTAAAAGATATTTTGAGCTGAGCTTCATATTTTACTGTTGCCCGAGGGGCTTATGGGATTCTGACTGAGTAAGGCCGAGGGCCTGTATTGTGAGGATACTTTTGGGTCGGGCTGCACGCCGCAGCAGTGATATACTGATTATGATAATAAGGCTGAGGGCCTGAGATTGTACGCCACGAGGTGGCTTGTGATTTATATGAGGCTGATAGCCTGTTTATGATGCCACGAGATGGCTTGATATTACGCTTGGACCGTAAGGGGCCCCTCCCGGAGTCTGTACACCCCTAGTGAGCGTAGGTACCCATTGTGATATGAGATATAGCCCGAGGGGCTGGTATTGTTCTGTGATATTGCCCGAGGGGCTGATTCTGCTGTTGTTACTAAGCTCGAGGGGCAGTTCTTGTGTGTTTACCTTTCTAGCTGCTTTTCCTTTACATGTTTAACTGCTTAAAAGGTGTTTTATAAGATTTCACTGTTTAATTGTGTTTACTGATTTTGTTCTGCCTCTTATAGCTTATTGTTGTATTTAACGTGATTTTATATCGCTCAGTCTTCATTTATTGTTATTACTCACTCAGTTGGAGTACTCACTTTACTCCCTGACCCCTGTGTGCAGATTCGAGCGCTACAGGTCCTGCTACTGAGGGTTGATAGTTTCCAGCAGATCTTCGGAGATTTACTAGGTAACTGCTTGGCGATCCGCAGCCCAGTGCATTCTCCCTCTATTTTATTTTCCTTTTTGATTCAGTTATGTAGTAGTGGATTAGTCTTTCAGATTTGTAGTATTGTTTTAGATGCTCATGACTGGTGACACCCTGATGTCGGGCTGTGTTGGTTTTTAATTCCGCAACTTATACTATTATCTCGGGATTTTATTTCTATTAAAGACTTAGTATTTATTTAATTAATTGCTTAAAGTGAAGTGGAAGTGTGTCGACTGGTCTTGTCTTCACGAGAGGTGCCATCACGACCGGGTTTGGGTTTAGGGTCGTGACAAGGCCAGTCCACAATTCAAGTGGATCTTTCACTATCAAATATTCAACCTTCAAACCTTCATCCAAATGACGACGAAGGAAAATCATAGCCTTCCCTTTGTCTTGGCTTGATGCCTCATTACCCTGAGTAATGGTGTTACCAAGGCCTTTAGTGGCTAAGTGAGTCTCAGCATCGAGAACCCATGATAGATAATTCTTTCCAGAAATGTCAAGTGTCACAAACTCAAGCTTTGACAAATTCGACATAGTGAAAACTATCAAAGATGATAAATAATTAGAAATCATTAGGATAATAGCGTAAAGAATCTTAAAAATTGACATAATATCAAATTTGTGATTTATATACACTAAAGTAATAATTCCATAGAAAAGAATACTATTTGTTTCTTCAAATTATTAGTATATCTTTGATGTTAACTAGAACAAAAATGTCTTCTAACTTTAACACAATTTCAAATGTAGAACAACATAAAATAAGTATTCTTCTCTCAATTAATTTTATTAACATGAAAATTAGCAACTTTCACATGACAATCATACAAATAACTTAAAATAAAGAAACATAGAATTCTTTATTTTTACACATATCTAGAGATGCGAGAAATTATAAAACTGCATATTAAAGATACTAATCATGAAATCAAAATATACAACGAAGAAAACAAAATGAACAAATATACCTGAACAACAAAAAAGAGCTCAACTTCGTGCTGATAACGTGTTAAGAAATGTAGCTCAAAGTAACAATNGCTGCTGTAATACCATATTTGAGGCATGAAAAGTCGTAAGAGTCTTTTCCAGCAAATCCTCATCATTCATAACTTCCCCACATAACTTCAATTGGGAAGTTATTCGAAATACAGCAGAGTTATACTCGCTTACGGTCTTAAAATCTTGCAACCGTAAGTGCATCCACTCATATCGAGCCTTTGGCAATACCGTAGCCTTAAGGTGATCATACCTTTCCTTCAGGCCAGTCCACAATTCAAGTGGATCTTTCACTGTTAAATATTCAACCTTCAAACCTTCATCCAAATGATGACGAAGGAAAATCATGGCCTTCGCTTTGTCCTGGCTTGATGCCTCATTACCCTGAGTAATGGTGTTACCAAGGCCTTTAGCGGCTAAGTGAATCTCAGCATCGAGAACCCATAATAGGTAATTCTTTCCAGAAATGTCAAGTGCCACAAACTCAAGCTTTGACAAATTCGACATAGTAAAAACTATCAAAGAAGATAACTAATTAGAAATCATTAGGATAATAGCATAAAGAATCTTAAAAATTGACATAATATCACATTTGTGATCTATATATACACTAAAGTGATAATTTCATAGAAAAGAATACTATTTTTTTTATTCAAATTATCAGTATATCTTTGATGTTAACTAGAACAAAATATATTCTCTCAATTAATTCTATTAACATAAAAATTAGCAACTTTCACATGACAATCATACAAATAACTTAAAATAAAGAAACATAGAATTCTTTATTTTTACACATATCTAGAGATGCGAGAAATTATAAAACTGCATATTAAAGATACTAATCATGAAATCAAAATATACAACGAAGAAAACAAAATGAACAAATATACCTGAACAACAAAAAAGAGCTCAACTTCGTGCTGATAACGTGTTAAGAAATGTAGCTCAAAGTAACAATATAAAACAAGAAGATAATTAGAATAAGAGAAGAAGAGATAACTTTCTTATTTCATCAAGTGTTCAAGTATCTCCCATATCACATTTCATGCCTCTATTTATACTATTATATAGAAGGATACAAAATGATTGTCTTAAACATGACATTAACAATTGAGATCATGGGGGAAGATCATGGGGAGGGGTTATGGAGGTGTGGGAGTTGCAATCATAATAGTGATGAATAGTGGGAGGTTATTTACATGATGGGTGAAAGTAGTGGGAGCAGTGGAAATCCAGAATTACTAAAGATTTTATGACAAAGTACTACTTTTTCAAATAAATTTTGTTGTAAAGACCAAGCACCTGTACCAAAATTTGAACATTTGTTCAACAAGTTCTTTTCTCAATTTGTGATACCATTGCAGATCGAGTACTTTTTTCAAATTTTTTGACCTGATCCAAGAAGACAATTACGACATATAGTACTTTCCAATTAAATACTATTTTTTATTCCAAACCTGACATGTTACCTGCCAGGAGAAGAATATGTCTGTACAAAGCCGGATCACTTACAAGTATAAAGTTCAAGATTTTAATTAGTTCAATTCTCTCTTACAAGTACAAATTACAAAGTTCACGATTTTAATAAGTTCAATTTCAACCCTATAAAGCCAGAGAAAAACTTCCAAATGACTCTTGAATTTGTATGTCTGTTATTGCTTCTCCCTTTGCTTATGGTTTTATGAATCAACAGCAGCCTCATCTCTTGTAAAGCCTGGCTGTGAAAAGAGTTGTGGAAACCTTACCATTCCATATCCATTTGGATTGAGTGCCAGTTGCTCCCTTAATTCTTGGTACTTAATCAAGTGCGATCGAAGTACTAATCCTCCTAAACCTTACATGAATTCATTTCTGCAAGTTGAAGTCCAAAGTGAAGTGATATCTGTGTCACTGGAAAAACAAACTATTACTACCTTAGTTTCAATAACAAATTTATGCAATGGTTCAAGCCAAGGCAGTAGAATCATCACAACAGGTACGGATTTGTCTGGAAGCCCTTTCTATTACTCAAAAGATAGGAATAAATTGGTGCTTGTTGGCTGTGGAAATAGTCTTGTGACACAGAAACAAAATGTTCTTTCTGGATGCACATCTATCTGCAGCGAAGGCACAACATTGACCGGATGCTATGGCATCAACTGCTGCCAATCTCTAGTACCTTTTGATCTTAGCTCGTACAAAGCAAACTTCACCAGCTCGGGGATTCAGCAAGGAGCTCCGAGATGCAGTTCGGCTTTCTTGGTAGACCAAACTTGGGTTCCTGATGAAGTTGCACAGCCCTTTACTTTTCTTGGTTATGCTCCTGTTGTTTGGCTCTGGACTATCCAAGCCAAAGAGTTAGAAGAGGGGTTGCTTTGCAATAAATCTGATGCTGCTGTTAAGTTGGAAGATGGTACTTCTATGGCAAGTCTGCAGTGTCACTGCGGACCTGGAACACAAGGAAATCCATACTTCTCTAATGGATACCAAGGTAAAATTGGCTGAACACAATCATTTGGAGTAATATTTATGTGTAATTATGAGTTCTCTGTTGCATCGAACAATATCCTGCATATGCACATCACATGAATCAGATTTCTGGGAGAAAGACTGACTATATGAGTAGGAGACTCGATTGAACACTATTGTAGAGCAAACAAGAGAATGCATTTTGCATCGCCTGAATTGTTTGTACATCAATTTAGGCCTTGTCAGTGGCAGAAGACACTAGAGATCAGGTTGAGGGCAATCAACTACATTGAATTTATAATGAGTGTTAATTCTGTATAATGTAACCCTAATTTTTCCATTTTTCACACTCCACCAACACCACTGTCCCTCTCCCCCTCTCATTTTGTGGCGAAGAAACAAATCAAAGAGCCTAATTGAAAAGGAAATCAATAGTATCAGCATTTAGAATCTAAATAATAATTTCTCTTTCATTTCTTGATTATGTTCTAAGCAGTAGTACGTGAAGTTCAAAGTGATTTGATAAAGTTACTGCAAAAATTAGGTTGACTGTAGGAAATTTTTTGCTATGGAGTGCGGAAACTAGGATTTGAAAGTGGAAAAAGCTCATTCAATTAACCTGATGCATATCATTCTAACATTGTTTTCTATGTCATCAGCCATTCAAGGATGCACCAATTGCGCAAACGAATTTCGCTTCTCAAAGTGGACATCTCCCAAACTCATTGTGTGGAGTGAGTCACTTTCTATTGTACTTGCTAGAAACTTGAAAACTCAACATTGTCAGAACTACATCCAGAAAATGGTAGACATCCTAATTTTGATACTTTAGTGGTTGCAAATCAAGAAGAAAGAAAGCTAGGTCTAAAAGTTATCCATCTCTGCGTTTCTACTTTCTACTATGTTCAATCACAGAAAGACTCAGAAATTTCCTTCAACAAAGAGTATAATACCAAATTCTAGCCTATAGGTTAATTCTGCTCACTTCTGTCAACAGGTACAATCATAAGTAGTGGACTGCTGCTTATACTGTTTGGGAGCTATTTATTATACAAGACATCCAAGAAGAGAAGGAATAAAAACAGAAACAAATGTTTTTTGAGCGAAATGGTGGCCTCTTACTGCAGCAGCAGCTATCATCCAATGATGGGATCATTGACAAAGGAAAAATATTCACTGCCAAAGAGCTGGAGAAGGCAACGGATCACTTCAATGAAGATCGCATACTTGGTCGTGGAGGTCAAGGCACGGTATACAAAGGCATGTTACCTGATGGAAAGATTGTAGCCGTGAAAAAGTCCATGCTGGTAGACAAAAACCAGTTGGATCAGTTTATCAACGAGGTGGTTATTCTTTCACAAATCAATCATAGAAATGTGGTGAAGCTACTCGGCTGTTGTTTGGAAACAGAAGTTCCTCTACTTGTATATGAGTTTATAATTAATGGCACACTTTACAGCCTCATACATAATGAGAATAATGAGTTTCTCTTACCGTGGAGCACACGTTTGAGGATTGCCACAGAGGTTGCTGGAGCATTGGCTTATCTACATTCCGCAACTTCAGTTCCGATCAATCATAGGGACATCAAGTCGAGCAACATACTTTTAGATGAAAAATACCGTACCAAGGTGTCAGATTTTGGTACTTCAAGGTCTATTTCAATTGATCAAACTCACCTAACAACCGGAGTCCAAGGGACCTTTGGCTATTTAGATCCTGAGTATTTCCAATCCAGCCAATTTACAGAAAAGAGTGATGTATATAGCTTTGGAGTTGTTCTTGCTGAACTCTTAACAGGAAAGAAAGCAATTTCAACCACGACAAGCGAAGACAGAAGTTTAGCAACAAATTTCCTTTTGGCAATGGATGAAAATCGCCTTGATATGATTCTACATATAGAAATTTCACAAGAAGGTAGAAAGGAGGAAACAATGGCAGCTGCTAATATAGCATATCGTTGCTTGAACTTGAATGGTAAGAGAAGGCCAACGATGAAGGAAGTAACCATAGCATTGGAAGGCATCAGATCACAAGTGCCTTCCGCAGCAGTAACAAATTTTCAACTGGAGAAGGGTGATACAGCA